ATTACTGATTTACTTGATTTATTTAATGTTTGATTAACTGTTTCAGTATAATATGTTGTTTCTGTTTCATATTCTTGTTTAATTTCTTCTATTACCTGTATTTTTAATTCCTAATAATAAGTTAATATATAGTATAAAATAAAAAAAAGTATTAAAGTATAATTAAAAAAATCTGATTTAACTTATAACCTATTAGTTCAAATTGAATAATTTTATTACTATTCAATTTGTCTTAATTATACAAATTGAATAATATAAAAATTATTTGTTTTAAATTACTAAGTTATAAGTTATTAATGTTTGAATATTTATAAAAATTATAAAAAATATAACTTAAAGTATTGTAGCAAATCTATAATAATTTGTAATCTAATAATTTAAATTGAATAATTTTTTTATTATTTAATTCATCTCAATAAGATGAATTGAATAATACAAAAATCTTTTAATTAGAATTAATAGATTATAAATTATAGTTAATATTTTTTTTATCTAAATTTTAAATAATATTATACCTGAGTTAAAAATTCCAAATCTTTAAATCTAAGATCAAAAAATGATGCATATATTTCAATATTATTTGGATAGTCCCAACGTGAGGCTAAATCTTCATTAATTTCATTTTTTACTTCTATTGCTTCAGAAGTAACAAAATGATCAAATCTTTCTAAAAGAGAATTACGAAGAGAAACCATACATGGATATATTATATTTAGTGTTGAATAATTTTGACCACTAAACAATCTTGTAACTTGCTCAAAAGGTTCAAGCAATTGAATTAACTCTTTTATGACTTTCCATTCATAAGTACTAGGAATTAACTCTTCTAATAATTCACCTTCTTGTCTAATTCTTGAATTAGTATCTTGAAGTAAAGTTTCTTTAAGAGTAATAATTGCAGATTTTAGTATAATAAGACGTTCAAATGCATAAAATGTAGAATTCCATCTAGTATTATTTGATTTAACAACATTAAGAATAATATTTTCTTCATCAATATTTAATTGATTATTATTATTCTCTTGCTAATTAATAAGATATTGTTGAGCTTCTCTAAGTTGTTGTTGTTTTTTATCTTGAGATAATAACTTAATCAGATTTTTGCATTTTAATATTAGCTGATCCATT